TTTCCCCCGCACATCCAGCCAGTAGTACAAGAGCGTTGCAATGCTGGCTGGAAATCTCACCGGTGGAAGGGAGATCAGGGAGCCGTTGTTTAGCAGCTCAAGAAACATCGTGCCACAGACAGAACAAGAGTTGTTGTTGTACAACTCCCTATCTGTGGCACTTCCGAAAGCGTCCAGCCAGACCATGGACGACTCCAACAAACATTTTATATCCAAGTCCCTTCCCAGGTCCGATGGCTGACACCTCTCCCTCAGCTCCATCAACACCGGGGAAAGGTCCTCCGTACAAAAATGTCTGCCGGGGTCACGGACCGCAGAGAGGATGAGCCTCGTCCAACTGGGGATGGACGAAGCCTCCAGAAAGTCCCTTTCCTGAGCGAGACACCTCCGTGTGACGCCCAGGTTCAGGACGCTCTGGAGAGCAGCGTCCACCCAGCTGTAGCGGAGTCCATCGTCCGCTAGTCCATGGCCCACCAATGCCGTCCTCTGTCCCTGGGAAAGCTGAGCCGACTTCTTCTTTTTTCCACTCCGGGGGACAATCGATCTCTAGGCCAACGGAAATTGTTGCAGACAGAGTATTTTGAGCTTCCTCGGCCAGGGAACATCTTATTGGAAAAGTTCCTGTGTAAGACGAGCGGAGAGGAGAATGTAAAGGAAGGGCCAACGATGGGACCAGGGAAACCAAAGCTTTCTCTGTGGCGTCAGCCACAGCTTTGGCCGCGAGGTCAGTCGCAGACAAGTCTTCCCCAGCCGGGGGAGACTTCTCTACAACCGCTCCCTCGCCCTCATGTTCCGCCGTCTCTGAACAAACTTCCCCGGCCGGGTCAGTTTGTTCGTCGACAGTCGGAATCCCCTCAGGACTGTCTGGTACAGAGTCCACAACACCAGTTGTCTGCTCTGAGCAAACCTCCCCAGCCGGGCAGGTTTGCTCAGAGGCAGCGGTGTCGTCCTCTGTACGGACGGTCCTTGAAGGGATAGAGGCCGAGGTCCCACTCGGGTCGGTCTGTTCTGTGGAAGTGGGTGTTGGACCCTTCCAGAGCAAGTCCTCCTCTCCACGTTGATCGGCGTTTTCTTTCGAATCCTTCCCGGAAAAGTACTGATCCGTGAGCTTCTGCATGCTGGAGGTTACCGCGTAGCCAATTCCCCAACCGAGGGGGATGAGAAAAGGGACGAATGCTTTAGCTAGGCCAAACATGACAGCTGTGTAATTATGACGCTCTACTCTGATGCTCCAGTATCTTCTTCTGGCTGATGCTTTCAGATTCAATCTTTTAAGCATCAGAACCTCTTTGATCTATTGTGATGTAAATGTCATCTATGACCTCATCAGTGACCTCATCAGTGACCTTATCAGTGACCTTATCAGTGACCTCATCAGTGACCTCATCAGTGACCTCACTGGACTTCAGCCGCAACGTCTTGCTTCTGATCGTTTCCATAGCAATGATCAGATCAGTTCTGCATAACTCAAGCTGATATAAAATACTTAAATAAAAGTAATATTTTGTATTTATTTAACATGAGATTAATAGATTTGTATATGATTTAATTTTGCATTTGGTCTTAAGCTTTTTATCCACCATTATTTTTAATTATTATTCATTTATCATGATTATTCATGTATTATTCATGTTTTTTTCTATTTATTTTTATTTTCGCAGACAATTTACTGCTGTGACTATTTTACCAAACATAGGAAACAAAAGCAGAAGAGAGATCTATGTATGAACTTATACATCCTTTTATTGAGTTCCAGAACCCAGACGTTCTTGGTTTGGGTCATTCAGGAAGCTTTAGGGATGAAAGTGCTTCATGATTGTATTTTCAGAGGCAGATTTCAAGAGTTTGGGTCGCGTGTTATTCTGGGATGTAGACGTGTGTAGGAATCCCCACGATGTCAGTAAAACCGAGTAGCATGCCTTAGTAGGTGTGTGTGTGTGTGTGTGTGTGTGTGTGTGTGTGTGTGTGTGTGTGTGTGTGTGTGTGTGTGTGTGTGTGTGTGTGTGTGTATGGGTGTGTGTGTGTGTGTGTGTGTGTGTGTGTGTGTGTGTGTGTGAAATAATGATAATTAATAACTTCCTGTTTGCAACATTCAGGTACAACGACAGAAATAGCTGCTTCAATATTCCATTCATGGGCTCGTTAATTCCAGCCGACAGTAAAAATAATAAATAATACATGAATAAAAGCCGCAGTGGCCACAAGGTGATGCTGTTGCTCTGGATTACCACCTGTGGATTCTTGACATCTAACAGCTGAAAGAGTGAAAGCAATTCAATCTGTTGTTGAAATGACTCTGAAAGAGTGAAATACATGCAAATTCTGGAGCAAAACCAAGTAAAATCGGCTCAGTTGTTGATTTAAATCTGCCAAATGTGCTCTGAATGTTTTGTTTGCTCCATTGACTCACTGCTTCCTCAGAAACATTTCTCACTGCTGTTTGTTCTGGTTTTTGCTTCAGTTTCTTGTCTTCACCAACGATGTGGAACCTTCAAAACCTGCAGCTCATGTTGTGCAGTAAGTTATAACATTTGATTTTGAGGAAATCGTCTTGCTGGGTGTTGATTTATCTTCTCCAAACAAGTTTCTTTAAAACAAATATTTCTGCCAGGTGATTAAAAAAATTAGAAAAAGAACAAGCTTTTCATTGCATTTATTTCATGGGAACAGATCTGAAAATGATAAAAAATTATACACAATGTTAAAGAGGAGAAAATACTTGAAAACTCAGTTAATGTTGTCTTCTCTCTGCAGCAGCTCTGAGCTGTGTGAGCGGCGCCGCAGGTTTGATCCGTGTGTTTGGATACGAGGGGAGCGATGTGACGGTTTCCTGTCCGTACGATCCAGGATATGAGAGATACCAGAAGTACCTGTGTAAGAACAGCTGTGGCTACAGTGATTTTCTCATCAAGACCTCACAAGAAAATAAAACCAAATACTCCGTTTACGACGACAAAAGAGCAAGAGTCGTCGCAGTGACCATCTCTGGTCTTCGTTTGGAGGACGCCGGGGAATATTGGTGTGGAGTGACCAGAGCAGGAAAAGACATCTACACTGAAGTAAAGCTGGACGTAAAAGCAGGTAAATAATCAAACTCTTAATCCTACGAATGATAAAGTATGAGCTCACTGTAGATGCAGAGAAAAAAGCTGAATCCAGGGAGGTCGGTGTGTGTCAAGGTGGATGGTGGAAACTCGGGAATGATAAATTACTTTTCTACTAATTTCATTTCTACATGAACGGATTGTCCTTAGAAATAAGACAAAGCAACAAATAAAGGCAGAAGAAGAAGGAGAAGTAAGATAAAAAAAACCTATGGATGATCCACGTTGATTCCTTTTTTTGTTTAAATAATTCATTGATCAGTTATGCTGCCGAACTGAACAAGACTATGACCACAACAGCAGCTGAAATATAGACATAAGATGTTTTTGATTGAATAAAGCACAAAGATGGCAGCTGGAGTGTTACGCTTAAATGAGTCATGATTTAAAAACAAAATTCACGTAGAAGAGAATAAGATTGATACGACTGAACACAGATTGCCTAAAACAGAACAACAGCAAAGTATTACCTCATATTGTTTGAAGCACATTTTTGAAACTTCATCAAAATTTTGAATGTTTTGTATTAGACCATAAATTTGTTTCAGTTCAAATGAAACAACAATACAATAAGAGATTTGTGCTTTTTGTTTGCTGTCATATTATTTCAGTATTTAATTGTTAAAAACTTAAAACATATGATATGAACATTCTACTATTTCTGGCCTGGACGCGTACGTCAAAGTTTCAAAGATTTCTACATTTCTGTCTCTTTGCTTCTTAGAATTGCATTTTTCTGTAATTTTTGCTGTAGAAAACAGTTTTGTCTTCCTGTCAGACAGATGTTGCAACACGACGAATAAAATCCAAAGTACTGAGGAAGGTTCAGTGACCATCAGCTGTCCGTACGACTCTCAGTCTGTCGACAAGCTGAAGTTCTTCTGCAGAGGAAACCGGCCCTCCACATGTCGACAGCAGGCAGTGATCAACTCTAGCAACACACAAAATGGACGATTCAGACTCTCTGATGACAGGAAGTCAAGAATATTCACAGTGACCATTTCCAGTCTGACCCTGAAGGATTCTGGGTCGTATCTTTGTGGAGTCCAGAGAATCTCAGGATTTGATGTTTTCTCTGCTGTTGAACTAGAGGTCAAAGGTGAGAACCCAAGCAGGCTACCTCGATTTTTTGTGATTTCATCCTATTTTCTCTCAAAAAAAAAAAAACAATAAAAAACACCAATGTCTCTATTTCATTCAGCAGAGTCGTGCTGTGCAAAGTCACAGAACATGAGTGGTGTGATGGAGCATAGTGTGACCTTCCTGTGCCTTATGCACCCCAGCATCCCAATGACACAATGTTCCTCTGCAAGGGAGACAGAGCCAGCAACTGCACAGACATGATGGATCAAAGTCGGTTCATTCTGATCAATGTTTCCTCCAGCTCTTTCTCTGTGACAGTCATGAAGCTGGAAGCAGGAGATGCTGGAACGTACTGGTGTGGCTCCGGCCCAGAGGCGAATGTTGGAAACTCCACCCGCTTTCATCTTTCTGTAGGTGAGAGAGGCATCTACAGAAACCACCTCACTGAAAACAACCTCAGTTTTGTACATCAGGTGTAAAAACATTTAACAATTTAAACTCAGCCAAAATTCAGCTTGAATGGGATTCAAGTGCTCTTGGGTTCGCACAAACTTACAGAATAAGTGAATCCCCACTGTTTGCCAGCTTCATCACCAACTGCATGAGATCATGTCAGTCTATTTGGGTGATGCTGTGTTTGCTGCGGAAGCTGAGAGCAGATGCTTTCTGCATGAAAACAGAAAAATAAGTGACACTATGTAGAGAAAACCATCGGGGAAAAGTGTATCCTGAACACGTCATCTCTTGGCTTCAGTGGATTGTTTGAAGGATTTGGTTGATTTTTTTTTTTTTTTTGCCAACTAGACAGTATTTATTTTGCTGTCCAAGGTTAGAATCTGGAGACAGATTGGTTGGTTAATGTCTATTGAAAAGAGCTCAAACCAAAACCTCTGCTCATTATGATCCTTTGTTTAATTTTTCAGGTTCTGTTAGTGACCTGCAGAAGATAACTCTTATAAATCCAGTAGTTGGTTCTGTAGAGGATGAAGCCTTTATCAGTGTCTCAGGAGTTTATGTGAAGGTGTTTTTTCCTCCTAAAACCGATGTGACAACATGTTCAAGTCAAACCACCTGGATTTATGCCTAAAAGCCTTAATTATCTCACTTCAAACACTCTAAGTTGTTATTTTAATGTGTTTGAGAAATAGCGTTGTATGTGCATAAACGTTTCTCTCTCTTTTTTCTAATCATGGCAGACGCGACTCTCCACCAACTTTCAGATCCAGCTTTCTATGCCCTGCTTGCTTTAGCTGCTGGACTGCTGCTGATGGTGACATTGGTCCTAGTTAAAGTTTACAAGAATAAATGTCACAAAACATTGAAAGGTGAGCTTGTTTTTGTCTTCAATGTGAAGACAAAAATTGACATAAATCAATTCCATAACTTATGCGTCTTTTTTTGTTTTTTCAGAGAGAAAAGCTTCCAGATAAAGAATCGAAGCTTCGGTTTGCAGACACATCAGCTGCAGATGTTTTAGAGGACGTCCAAAGCTTCGTCTGCGGGGGTCATGGGGATGATATGAAATAATTCTCAATGGACTATTTAAGCCTAAATTAATGTGAATCTTTATTTAAGTACTCAGATTAGATTTTTTATGTCTTATTTCAGAGCAATTTTCATTTGTCAGAGGTGAAAAAAAGGGAAAGGAGGACAAACAGCTAAACCAGCAAAATAAAATAATTATCTCACAATGAGGAAACGCAATTGTATCTGTAAAAATGAACAAAACATGACAGGTGTAAGCAGTGTGAGAAATATCTAAACTCTAAACTGCACATCTAAATGATAGAATAAATGTGAATAAACTGGAGCTTTGAATTGAAATGTGTTCGTGAGGATGGCTCAGTGTCCAGTGATGACAGGAAGTCATCAATATTCACTGTGACATCTTTCAATCTGACTGAATGATTCTGGGTCAGATTTTTGAAGCATGGCACTAAGGGACATGCTGCAACCTTCAAGTGTTCATCGTAACAACATGATGTTCCTCTAACCAGAGCAGCATGTCTTATAAAGGTATATTCACACTGCACAATGTTCAGAGCACGGCGATACAAACGTAAACTGAAAATCTAACAACCAAAATGGATGCATGGTTTTTATGTTTTGTATTGAAAACTTGCATTTTCTTAGAATTGGCATGTTGCTTGTTGCAGTGAAAGCAACAAGCAACATGTTGATTGAAAAGCCCAAAGTGGAAGGTGAGATAGGGAAATGAAACTGTTTTTTTTTTTTTCTTCTCGCCTTCATATTCAGCGTGTTCAAATTTAATGTGTGGATATCTTCTCTTCACCAAATGCAATCTAAAGAGTTCTGCTTAACTGGACCAAAGCAGACACTTAATTTGCAGTCGATTTCAAGAAGTATAACAGAGCAACCTCAAAGAAACATGTTGTTTATGGGCCTGGTTTTAACCAGACTGAAGTTCTTCTTATTTAAACACATTTCAAACAGACTTATCAGGGAAAAGTGGACTTCAATCAATGTCAAATTCATTCTTTTTATCCAGTTAGATGAAAAATTGTACAAGCATGAGCTGCTTGCACAGAACCAGACGTTTTGACGTGATGATTGTGGTGATGAACTAATAGTTTATTATTGTTGGTGTTTTACTCGTCGCAGACGAAGAAGAACAGCGTGGTGTGTCAGAGGAGTCCGTAATAAAAGGTGAGATGATGAAATAAAACTGAGCTTGTGGCAGAGAGCCCCACATTCATATCTGGCATGAATATATATGGTGTGTATTTATCAGAGTTGGTTGCTCTCTAGTGCAGGCTGGAAATAACTTGATAAAAACCAGCCCCATGTTCTAGGATTGGCTTCGTAAAGAGGAAGGCATGGACTCCGTAGTGTTACTCAGTAATGCTCTTTCATTATTGGTGTAGCATTCACGCATAAAACACTGAATCTGGCTTGTTTTATTCCGTTTCCTGGGTCTAAAGTAGCAGAAAGAAACACCCATTGTGTTACTTTACCCACACACACACACACACACCTCACTGAGAAGCATCTCCTAAAATGATCTTAGCACACATGCACAGTCCCACCAGGTTTTTGCTCATTTCTGCAGGCTAGTCTTAAGGACTATATCTCATCTCTACACTTAAGCATCATCATGAAACACCACAAACACCTTTGTGCAAAACTCCTCCCTCTTTATGGCCTCTCCCAGAACCGACACATGGTGTCTCTATTACCAGGTGGGATATTTGTCCAAAAAAGACGGAGGAGTCATTACCTCTTCCCGCTGCCATCTCACTTTTTTAGCACCCAAACTTTTAACATTTTCCTGATTGTTGGAAAGCAAAATGATAAAATTAGAGGAAATTATTATACATTTCTAAATAGTTTTTAAGATTTAGATGCTAATTGATCATTGTTTTAATGATGCAGTTTGTTTTCTTACATTAACTTTTCTCACATAATAATAAATAAGAGCTTTTTGATGAACCAGTCTTTGTTTCTTTTAAATCTTGAAGGTAGTAATGCAGATTATATCTGCAGTATTTTAAACCCGTTACATTGTTATGGTGATATTTTTATGTTTCTATAACATTTGTCAGTTTGACTTTAAAATAAATTTTATTTCTACCCTCAATTTGTGGCAACATATTTCTTTATCCACTTTTTATTCACTAGATGCTGTTATAATCAGCAGCTTTTGCAATGAGAGAAAGAACCTGGAGAACATCAATGAATGATCTAAAATAAATAAACTATAGACAGAAAAATCTGCTTTACTTGTATTGAAACAGGAAATATTCTTGCTGAGATGATGCAGCACTCAGAACCACAGCTCAGCCCTCAGTCATGTTTCCTATGACCAGTTCCTCTAACTATTTAAGTATTTTGGTTGTAGCATTTGAAAAATAGAGGAAATTATCATTTAGATCTCACTCATGATTTTTGCTGATGTTGTGCAGAGGGTTGAACTCATCAGATCAATGTGGTTTCCTTAAAATACTTCATGCTTCACCTCAATGTTATTTCTGGTTTGGTTTGTCGTCCTCAGTAGTGCAAAGATGTGGAGCTTCCAGATCGTGTTTCTCATCTTATCTGGTAAGTTTTAATATTAATTTATCTACTAATATAAATTAAACAGTTTCCAGTGGCTTTAAAATGCAGATTTTGTCATCTTAACGTCATAAAACAGTAGAATAAAATCAAATAGACAAGATGGCTCCCTCTGTAGTCGCTGACATACTACTTTTGATTTTCTATTTGCTTTTAAATAAATACATTTACAATCTAATCATTGTCTTTTATAGATGTGGCCTTTTCTATTTATATGTTTACAGTTTGCTGAGGAGTCAGACTAAGAATTTCTGTCTATTCTTTTGCAAGAGACAATAATTTAAAATTTAAGTTAGTTGCATAAATTATATTTATGTTCTCTACTGTTTCCAGCTGCTGTGTGTTGTGTGAGTCGTGCTGCAGGTTTGATCCATGTGTTTGGATACAAAGGAAGAGATGTGAATGTTCCTTGTTCATATGACGAAGGTTATGAAAGTTATGAGAAGTATCTGTGTAAAGACCCATGTGACAATAACGATGTTTTAACAAGATCACAAACAAATCAGACCAAATACTCCACCTATGATGACAAAACATCAAGAATCTTCTCTGTGACCGTTTATGATCTTCATTGGGATGATGAACAACATACTGGTGTGGAGTGAGCAGAAGAGGAATAGATATCTACACTGAAGTAAAGCTGGAAGTAAGAAGGTAAATAGTTTTAACTGCAGGTTAAACATTTGAGTTAACATAATAGACTGAACTTTACAAAACAAACAGACAATGATGATTTGGCAAAAATGTTTCCGGTTTTAAGCGACTCTGAGATGCAACATTTTGAGCTTCCCTCATTCTGTCTTAATGAAATCAGACGGTCAGAACTAATTTACACTGACAGTAAATGTTGAATTACAGTGAAAGACTTTGAGGCTTTGGGAAGGAAAGCAAGGGAATTAAAACTATGTGAACACAGAACAACACAGTTAAATTTTACTTGGTTTTTATCAATAACTTCTATGAAGATATGTCAATATTAAATGATCATAAATATATCAGTGTGAACGTGGACATAGACATAACAGTTGTCATATTTATGATATTTCCTAGTTTATAAAGACTCTCAGGGTCTTGCAGGTTTTTCTGCCCTGTTTGAGCGGCTGTTCATCATTGATTAGGCTCAGATGAGGATTTGT